AATACACTTTGGTGTATATGGTGGGGGCACGACCTTATGCGTAGGACTACGGTGCAAATATTACTCGAATACCCAGGGTCCTCAGGGTGTTATATTGGGCTATTGTCTATGGTATATGGTTATGGAATAATGGCAAGTGTATTGGTAAAATAAGCTTACGAGCTTATGGGATTAAATGGTAAGTATATTGGTAAAATAAGCTTATGATCTTATGGAATAAATGGTAAGTATATTGGTAAAATAAGCTTACGAGCTTATGGGATTTAATGGTATGTATATTGGTAAAATAAGCTTATGAGCTTATGGAAATGGTAAGTATATTGGTAAAATAAGCTTACGAGCTTATGTAATAAATGGTAGGTATATTGGTAAAATAAGCTTACGAGCTTATAGGATAAATGATAAGAAATTTTATATCATTGTGATCATTGTAGAATATTGGATATATTGGTAATATGATTTTATGGCATTTTGATTTGGACATTGAAATTCATGCATGAATTATATTGCACTGTTTATTGTTTTAATTGCCTCACTAAGTTTATACTTAGCGTGTGATGATTTTCACGTGTAGGTAAAAAGCCAGTAGTGGATTAAAGAGTTCAAAGTGACATCAAGCATCGAGGATCTCAATATCAGTAAGACATCCTATGATGAAATTTGATTTAGATAGTGGCAAGTAATTAATAATATTCTATTTGTTTTGTTGAACAAATTTGGAAACAAAATGGTAACTTTATATTAATGAAAGGTTAAATTTTGATGAATTTATATGTATTTTCGGAAATTACTGTAGTGGTTCCTGTAGCAGTGAATAGTAATGAACAATACTCACGCTTAAAAATTTCCAGAATGTTACAGGGGTACCGATACTCTCACTGTTCACTATTCCTAAAAAAATATTTTATCTTAAATTTGTTATAATGAAGTATAATTCATATGATATGATGTTTTTATAATATCATTTATCATTTTAAGAAAAAATAGGTATAATTCTACGGGTTATGAGTGTTACAAGCAATGGTAGGGGGCCCACTTGTGAGAGATAATTGGAGGGGGAGAGATTGAAGAGAGAAAGAAACTGGGGAGAGGGGGTTAGTTTAGTTTTAGGGTTATATATTAGATTTAGGATTAATTACCTTCTAGACCCTATAGTTTAGCCAAATATTTTTAATTTAGTCACTAATTTTAGAGTAAAGTCCCTATTAAGTCACTCTAACTTAGACACATTTTACAAAGTAGACACCATTATGACAAGTATATATACATATATATAGGTCGACCTATCAGATTTATAAAGCTTTTTAATAAGCCTAAACATGGTCTATTTAATTTAATAGGCTTTTAAAAAAACCCGAGCCTAGCCTTTTTATTAAATAAACCAGGTCAGACCAGACTTTATGTAGACCAGGTCGTAAGCCCCTGTAGGTCGGCCTGGCCTATTCTGACCCCTATATATAATGTATTGAGCTAAACATGTGTATTGGTTTGTATACGCTGCTGGATATACCGAGTGAATAGCAATAATGAAATGGTCTCAGGGTGGACCGACGTCAATTTTTCGGCTTAGACTGTCGGCCCTATACGGGGATTAGATAAGCCATTTGATTCATGAGGAGGCACTCCCAAATATCTCTCCAACTTAGAAGAAAATTAGTATTTTAAGAAGTGGAAAATTAATGTTTGGTCTCTTAAACCTGTCTTTTACTATTTATAATTTATTCATTCTTGCGAAGAAAAAAAAGGTTCATAACGTGATATTTTTGTAAAAATAAATAATCTTTTAAAGAAAATAATAGCATATACGGAATCCGTTTCTTAATTTAGTTTGTTAAGTGTTGTCTGCTGAGTGCCTCTGTGAAAATACACCGAGTTGAGACATCTACATCAAGTATTGTCCTTGGTTGGGGTGTTGTCTCCCTGACTTCTCCAAGAGCCCTGGAGGGCTCATAGAGTTGGGGAGTGTCTCAAAGTGCCTGACGAGGCAGAACTGTGGAAATTGAGTTTCCGCAAGAAGGGGGGGGGGTGGACCTATGACCCATGGCATATAGGTCATTCATGGGAAACCAAGGTGCCGCTTGAGACTTTATGGTTCATCTTGGACTAGCGTAGAAGTTTTATTTTTCTTCCCAATGATTTAAAACCTGACTGTTAATGCTTTATGTCTTTTCTGAATTTCAGCACGTATGAAGTTGCCACAGCTTGTGCATTAGCTCTTCGAGCAGATAAGCTTATTTGCATTATAGATGGCCCAATTTTGGATGAGAATGGACGCCTTATTAATTTCTTGCCTCTCCAAGAAGCAGATATGTTAATCCGCCAACGGGACAAGCAAAGTGAGATAGTTGCTAAATATGTCAAAGATGTTGATGAAGAAGATCTCAATACTGTTGGACATGATGATACTTCAATTGTTCACTCTTCACAAAATGGGAAGGCTCTTCACAGTACACGTAATCCTTCCTTTGGTGTTGGTTTTTATAATGGCAATGGACTATGGTCTGGAGAACAGGGCTTTGCCATTGGAGGTCAGGAGCGGCTAAGTCGAGTTTGGAGTTGGCTGCTGCAGCCTTTGTCTGCAGAGTAAGTTCAATAGCTTGTTTGAGCTTTAGTTTATTTATATTCTTTCCTACGTCAAAACAATATGCCAATTATATTTTCTGCTTTATCGTAAGGGTGGTGTACAAAGAGTTCATTTGTTAGATGGCACTATTGGTGGGGTCTTATTGTTGGAACTGTTCAAAAGAGACGGGATGGGGACGATGGTGGCTAGCTATACAGTTAACTGTCGGTTAGCCTTATGGGAAAGTAGATAATTGTTGATAGGCATATATTACAAAACATGGTTAATTCCTAAGGTATCTGTGTTTGCTTTGAGAGTAATCAATCTTTACATGACTCGTGGCCTATTCCGATGTTTCAGTGGGCTCTGCCAGTCAGGTGGAGTGTTAAACCTAAATATATTTTACATGCTACTAATTAATTACAAGTACATTTTATTTGAATTTAGTGATACTTCAGCGAACCTTCTATCACCATAACAATTTCCTTTTCTTACTTTCATGGTTTTGAGAGAATGCTTTTCTTATTTAATTGTTGGGCCATGCATCATGCATTGATCAATTTCGTAACATTTGAAAACGGACAAACCAGAGGATTCATTGTTCCAATATCCTTTTTCCTAGATGACGGACCTCAGAGTAACTTCATATGGCTGATATTTCTTAAGTTTATATGATCTGCCATTGCTAGACTTAGCAAGTGATTAAGCTATCTTGTATTTAGTATGCTGACCTAGACATTGCCTGTTTTTCAGTGATCTATATGAAGGGGCCAGGATGGCTATGGTGACAGATCTTGCTGGAATCAAGCAAATCATACAACCTTTAGAAGAGTCTGGTACATTGGTTCGCAGGAGTGATGAAGAGGTCTATATTGCCTCTTTATTACTTTTGTTTGACCAAAATATCTCATTTATGCATATAATTTTCAGCGATGTGCTTGTTGGAATAATAAGAAAAAAAGTTTGGTCATACTTTGCATGCTTGTATATCTACCAGTTCTTCGGTGTTTTAGTTGCAAAGATCAGATTTGGTAATATTAGTTTTTGTTTCAGATCTCACTAAACAAACAAAATGGAAGGGGTGGAAATGCCTTTATTCTTTTGAATTGGAGAAAACAACTGAATATTAAATTCTTGTGTCTTTTCTTTTTGCACAGCTACTTAAAGCCCTAGATTCATTTGTTGTTACGGAAAGAGAAGGCCAAATCATTGCTTGTGCTGCTCTATTTCCTTTCTTCCAGGACAAATGTGGAGAAGTTGCTTGTATTGCAGTTTCTCCTGAATGTCGAGGACAAGGACAAGGAGATAAATTGCTTGGTATGTTTCCAAACATCTCTAACTTCATTGTCTATGGCATATTACACTCGATCATGCTCCGCTACTTATCATGGTGTAGCTGAAACAGATGTCATGCAAGAACTTGTCACTTCAAATCTATTGGAAGCATATTTACACTTCCTAAAAAAATAATTTTAGGAAGGCACACTCCAACAGGGCATTCATTTTGGCTGCTAGATTGTTTATAAAACATTTGTCGATAAGTTCAGTTCCCACTGTCTAACCATAGAATGATGCTCAACCCGATCTGACTGCTTTTTGTTTCTGTGACCACTTTGATGTCATTTGTTTGTGGTCTACCAATCTTATCATATTCCTAATAATTTAATTTTTATATCTATTAACTATGTGCAGATTATATCGAGAAGAAGGCAACCTCTCTCGGATTGGATATGCTTTTCCTGCTAACAACTCGTACTGCTGACTGGTTTGTATTATCTTATGAAATAAACTTCATTTCAACCATTCAATTAATTTCAGTCATTATTTATGCTCAGGTTACTGCATGTAGAACTGTACCAATACATACTGGTAGACATTGAACACCCCACTTCTGATTTTACAGGTTTGTAAGGCGCGGCTTCGGAGAATGCACAATTGACATGATACCGGAAGAAAGGAGGAAAAAGATTAATCTATCCCGAGTGGAATTACGGCTGATAGAGAATTTAAATGAGCTTGCAACTGATAAGTACCTCTTTAGTCTGAGCTAACCAGGACAGCGGAGAAGATGATGCAACCTCATCGGTGTGATTTGGTTAGAGGACCGTTTACTGCAATTTACATGTTGGGCAGAGGTTCATTTGATTTTCTATGCATCAGGTTCATGTCATGAACCTTAATTTATGATTGCCATGGAAGCATCTTTGTTGCATTGGTAGTCGACATAATCTTCGTAGGCGAATTGTAATTTGATTTAGTGCCTCGAAATAAGGTAAATAAGTTTTACCTTTATACTTGCATAAATCTTTAAATACAATACTTAAACAACATTATTTAAAATTTGTATACACAAAGAGGATAAAAACATTCGATGAGAAGCTTTGCTAGTTGGTGTTCTAGCAATGTAGTGTTACTGTTGGGGTTGGAGTCAGTTTAATAGGGATAAAAAATCCTACTTAAATTACAAATGTGATGATCCAATGTACAGTGCAAGACGAGAATACAGTAATTAAACAATATCAAGTTAAAGCTGAAATTCTCAAACACAAATTTGATCCCTTTCAGAACTCGAATTATAAAACACAGATCCATCACAAAAAGATTAAACACAGGAAACCCTTTTTTCAGCTCTTGGATTTCGAATGCTTTACAAGCCAATCAATAACTGAGTCAATGTTGGTTGAGTTCTTGCAAGATATCATGAAGCAGCAAACTTCTCTATCAGTAATTGACTCGAGTCCCCTGCACAAGAAATATTCCGTTTTATGAGAAAGTTTTTACTTTTTAAGCAAAGCAGAAATACTGTAATTCAGTTAATCAAGCGAATCAAATGAATGTCTCTCTTACATTTCTTCAGTTAAAGCCTGTTTAGACAGAGCTCCTGGCTTGTCGATTTTGTTGCCCAGCACCAGAAGGGGGATGCCACTAAGTGACGATTTGCTCAACAAATCATGAAGCTCACTTTTTGAGATGCTCAGGTTATCAGGATCAGCAGCATCAACCACATAACTGTAAGAAAACCATGTTTATTCTAATACATATACAAACCAATGCATGCAATTCATCTAACCGCAAGGAAGAACAGATCCCATAACTCGTATGAAAACGAAGAAGTAGCTTCTTACACAATCGCAGAAACTGCACGACAGTATCGTTCCCACATGCTACGAAACCTAGGTTGGCCTCCAAGATCCCATAACTTTATCGTAACATTTCCTTTTGTCACTTTCCTCATGTTGAACCCAACCTGAAAAGAAGCCATTACGATTGCAGAAAGAAAAGGACTAAAAAAAGCATTGCATTGAGTTCACAAATTAATACAAATCCACTTATGACTCACCGTAGGTATCATATCTTCACTATATCCACCTGTCTGGGGAAAAAACAAAAAATCAACTTAAAGTTAACTCACAAAATAAGATAAAAGCATGTGGTAGATCACTAGTAATGGACCCTTTGTAAGCTGCGACGGCATTTTTACTTACTGCAACAACATTTACTAATGAGGTTTTTCCAGCATTCTGAAGTCCTATCAAAGATAGCTCCATTTCCTGCTTGAAAAACAGGCTGCAAAACAACATATATGAAAAGTGAACATCAATACTATGAAGATCGAACTTTGTACCATTCGTTTAAGATTGCTCCAACGATATATTTCAATAATAAGTCATATGGCACCGTCTGAAAAGTATGTGGACTCCAGTTTTGATAAAAAGAAAAGCTTCCCATCAGATAAAAAAACTCGATAAACATAAACCATTCCTTAAGCCTTGTAAAATCGAAACAGCATTTTCAACTGAAACTAGAATCCCAAAGATATATGGACACGAAATCAACTTGGATGAATCATATAACTAAACTACAACTTTCTGAAGCCAGTGAAAGACATAAAACGGTGAAGTTAGTGCATTCACTTCACAACAATAAGGAATACTACTTCCCCTAAGGCTATGATTGAATTTCATCATAGAAATCATCTAATTTTTAACAAAGGTCTCCATATCTGCAAAGTGATATAATCATAATCTACACCACCTTAATGCAGAAATAAAAAAAAATAAGACCATTCACTCATTAAAATTGCAATGACTAAGATATGTAACATTTTTAACCCTGAAGAAGAAATTTGACAGCAGTATCAAGCAAAAGCTAGAAAATTCACTAATTCTAGTCTAGCCCAATATCAAACTCAAAGCCAAAAGGATAGAAAAGATTGAAGTTTTAGCTTAAATACATAAAACCCAACTCCATCTAAAACATAATTCTTGATTCAATAGAGATAAAAAGGGTGACATTGCAAGAAATCAAAAAGAAAATATCATACCTTCGAAGCCAATTGAGAAAAGCTTCCCACAAACCCATATGGAAATTCAAAGAGAAACAGAAGCAAAGATCCCAAGCTAAAAAAGCAAAGAGCTTTTTAGTCAATTACTAAGGAGAGATGAAAGGAGGCCAAAGATCTCAGCCCCTGCCTTTTCTTTCTCCTCATAAATAATATACACAAACATATAGGTAAATGAATAAATAAAAGGGTAAAGTATACTAATGGTCACTGAATTTTTCTAAAATTTTTATTTAGGTCTCTCAACTTTTAAAACTTGTAATACAGTCCACCAATATTTAGTATATTTGCAACATGATCCCTAAAATAACCGATCATTTGCAATATGGTCCCCGACGTAACCGACCGTTTGATGCCGTTACACTATTGTTAGTACGTTTGCAATATGGTCACTGAACTTTTCAGGCGCTTGCATTTAGGTCCCCAACTTTTAAAACTTGCAACACAATCCTTAATTTCATTCTAAACCCCAAATTCCTTTTCGATCTCGAATTTCCTTTTTCGCTTCTCTCTTCTCATTTCCAGCGTAACTTTTCAGTCATAGATGTATGGGAAATTCTAATCTAACTGTGAATTATGTGGAGGTGTTGACTTGAATAAGGGTCAATTGAGAGAAGACTCGACCAAGGGACTATCGGGACCATCAACGATTCAATGTGTAATGTTAGATACAAGTCATCTCAGGTGAAGCATAGATGTTCGATGAAATGCTTGTGAGAAAAAATAGGGTTAAAAATGCAGAGTTGACAAATACTACTAAGATGAACTAAGTATCATTGTTGAAAGTCACCGACAAACCTGAAATTATTTTTTATAAATGGAATATAATAATTTCTTTGTTTAATCCTTGTAGTTTGAAGATTTTCCAACAGATGATCAAATATAATGAAATCTCAAACAACGCATTCACCTCTTAGTTTCTTTCGCAACTCGAAGGGTATCATGATAGGGTCAAGTAGCTGCTCCAAATATAATACCCTGTCATGATGCCTTTCGAGTTGCGTGCATGCAAAATTGTCTTCTAAAGCTATAATTCAATACAATTCAACTGTAAAATTTCCAAAACATGTAAAAAAATCCAATTCGTTCACGATATATCAGTCTCATAATCAACATGAACTTATTAAAAAGAATACGAGCTCACAAGACGTCGAAAACCACAGGTCGGATCAATACAATTCCCAGTAAACTAGTACCAACAATCTCTCGGATTGAGCCTGGCGATTTCAATATGTCGATTGTAACACCCCAACCCGTATCCGACCCGGATCCGAGTCCGAGGTGTCACATCAACTTTTAAACCTTTACTTGTTCAAAATAATGAAAAAACCCCATTAAAGAAAATTTCATATTATTTCAAAATAAAAGTTTTCACACTTATCAGAGCATATACAATTCAAATCGTTTATATTACATGCTAACTACATCTAAAAGAATAAAATACATATCAAACATTTATTTTCTGATCTGAACTTTGTAAGGAATATGCTGACATGTCTTGCTCTTCTCAATTTCTATATTCACTTTCTATAACATGCGTGTGAAAAACTCACACGCTAAGTCTATGACTTAGTGAGGCATAAAACATATAATAGAACTCTAATACGTGATCACGCATGAACAATTTTTACTAACATATTATATACATGCATAATACACACACACATATATATTTATATACACTTCATATCTTCTCATATATTCTTTTATAAAACATTTACTTATATACACATGTCATCATTTACGTATTTATCATACTCTTATATTATTATCCTTTATATCTCTTATTTCTTTACTCCTATAGTCTCTTACATTTATATTCTATATCTCATAACAAATTCTTATCTCATCCTATAAGTCATTTATATTCATTCACATATACATTAACATACATTCATGTATATCATGTAACAGATGCAATCACCCATAACACACATATATCATATCATATAATTCATGTTACACATCATATGTATATATTACATACGTTGTATTCAAAGTTATCCCTTTATTAGCCCATGTACACATGTGAGAACTACAAATATGTGAGTTTATAGAGGTTGTGCACTAATGCTGTCACCACAGCTCGTATAAATGCACCGAAGTGCCACGTAGAACTGCACCGAAGTGTCACGTAGAATTGCACCATAGTGCCGCGTAGAATTGCATCGTAGTGCCATATAAGATTGTCCCCAAGGACCACGTAGAAAATTCCTTAAGAATCATATACATATGCTAAGGATCAAGTATGTGTCTCAAAATACCTCACACATGTTCCAAAGAATACATATATGTCCCAAAGGTTCGCATAGACCCTCGACTCTTGGCATGCCAACTATACCTCTAGCTCTCATTTCACACAACATGGGCATTAATATTTATGTTATCATATATTCACATATACACATAGTCTCATAGTTCTTTCACATAGCTTATTGTCATATAAATCACATATCACATATCACATATACATATAGACACATGGTTCACTTACGCGTAGAACATTTTCATATGATTCACATATCACAGAGCTTATCACATATAATTGTATTCTTTTTCATATAATCACATAGTCATATAATATTTCATATGATCTCATATGTCATATCACATAGGTACGTATTCAATACTCATAATCACATATCTTATCTTTTGTTCTAATAAGTTCATATTTATCATTTAACACATAGATTCTTATTGCATATTTTATATCATATTCTTATACCACTAATTCATAATATAGTTTAGGTCAATATCGCTTAACTTATTTTTCTCTTTCACTTATTCATATAATTTCATTTCCCCAATTCCTATAATTTATTACAACATCATGTACTCATTTTCCTATAATTGATACATTAATGTCATATAATTTATATTTCAAATTCCTATAACATCCTCACATGATTTCAAGTACTTTGATATTATACTTCATATCATATAAAAACCTAACAGTTTTAGATCATAGTTTCATTTAACATATCGACCTTCCTATATTACTTATCTAACATATTCATATACTCATATCACATAATAATTTCATTTGACTATATATTATATTCATTTCATGCTTAAATCATATAATATCTAATTTACCCATATATAGTTTACGCTACATATTCAAATAATCTTATTTGAATCTTATAGGTAATTGCTACGTATCTTATCTCATTTCCCTTTTACCAATTTACATGATTTATAATGCTAACCTTTACAATAACATACAACTTATATCACTTATCTCACAATATTTAAATACTAGATTATTCTATTTATTTAATTCAGTTTCATATAGCTCCTATAATCCTTCTCATAGGGATTATATAGTTCTTCATTTTATAATTCATATATCATAGTTTCTATAGTTCTTATCCTATAGGTTCGTTTCACTATTATATAGTCATGCACACATACCAATCATGTAATACATATAATCACAAATAACACATATACTCATCTTACACCCATGATCATGCTCATGATTTCATGCATACTACCATAGGAAATAGACTCATCGTGAGTCTTGTTTCCATTCATCATACATCACTAAAATGCACTCACCTTAGCCTTGAAGAGCTCACGTTGAGAGGAAGAAGAAACTGAAGAAGACTCTGGAAAAACAATTATCTCATTCCCACGTGCTTATTATCCTTATAAAGGGAAATAAAAATCTTCCCTGAAAAATGACCATAATACCCTTATTACTTTCTAACTTTGTTATTCAATCCATCATCAAAACTTTTCATTTAAGTCCATAAACTTTCCATCTTTTCTGAAATTGGTCACTAAATTTACCAAAATTATATTTTGGTCATTGTCCCAAATTTCGGGATGTTACATCGATACTCACAACCAATTCCCTGATTTAAAGAAAACCAAACAAGAAGATAAAAAAATTTAGCCTAGGACCCTATTTCACTTCTATTCTGATAGACTGAATATCTTTCATAAGGAGTACTAAAAGTTTTGATTAAGAAGAAAGAAAGAAAATTAGATGGTTTTGGTTCAAAACTAACACTGAATATCTAGATCATTGACATGCAGTTCCAGAAACATAAAAATTTCAACAAAAAAACACACAATGCGAGCTGAAAATGGGAAAGTACGAAAGAAGAAAAGCTTACTTCCGGATAGCCCAAAACAGAAAATAAATACCTTCTTACAAGTGAGGGGAGAGGCTAAGAAATAAACACAATCGATGTTACATTCAAGAAATTCTTCCTCCATTTTTTCTTTGTAAATAAAAAGCTGAAAGACAGAGCACTACTTGGGTTTACAATTTTATATGGCGAAAAATTGAAGAACAAAAACCAAACGAGAGTGCATGTGAGCGATAGAGACTGGAAGATGAATGTGTTGTTTAGGATTTCATTATATTTGATCATCTGTTGGAAAATCTTTAACCACAAGGATTAAACGAATAAATTATTATATGACATTTATACAAAATAATTCCAGCTCTGTTGGTGACTTTCAACAATGATACTTAGTTTATCTTAGTAGTATTTGTCAACTCTTCATTTCTAACCCCATTTTTTTCTCACAAGCATTTCATCGAACATCTATGCTTCACCTGAGATGACATGTATCTAATATTACACCTTGAATCATTGATGGTCCAGATAGTCCCTTGGTCAGGTCTTCTTTCAATGGACCCTTATTCAAGTCAATACCTCCACATAATTCAAAATTAGATTAGAATTTCTCATGCATCCCCGACTGAAAAGTTACGCTGGAAATGAGAAGAGAGAAGTGAAAAAGGAAATTCGAGATCAAAAATAAATTTAGGGTTTATAATGAAATTGAGATCTGTGTTGCAAGTTTTAAAAGTTGGGGGACCTAAATGCAAGCGCCTGAAAAGTTCAGTGACCATATTGTAAACGTACTAACAATATTGTAATGGCGTCAAACGACCGATTACGTCGGGGACCATATTGCAAATGGACTAAATGTTGGGGGACTATATTACAAATAGACTAAATGTTGGGGGACTGTATTGTAAGTTTTAAAAGTTAGGGACCTAAATGAAAGTTTTAAAAAAATTCAGTGACCATTGCTATACTTTACCCTAAATAAAATAAAATATGATACCCACGTTTACTTTTAGATATTTTTTGTC